AAGCCTGATTAATACTACAGGTAGTTTTATATTAAAACTCCCTCTTAATTTCATCTTCTGAAGAACCCATGCAGGAATCAATAGGGATTGATCTGCCAGTTCTAATATTTGTGGGCATTTGCACCTTCAGGGAGCGTGTAGCTACAAGTACTGAAAGCTACAGGACAATGAAATGCCTTTTTAAGTTAAGTCTTCCTCTCTCCATGAAATCTGAATTCACAGTTACTTTATTTGGGAAAAGCTGTTTTTTCTGCTGTCTGTACCAATTTTAATCCTTACCTGTCATCTTTCAGTTTGTCCAAGTCCAATAATGTTCTGTGTGTCTGTGGTGCTGCTTGGCTGTTGCTTTAAGTTAGATTTCATGGAGAGAGGAAGACTTGAATTCACAGTTACTTTATTTGGGAAAAGCTGTTTTTTCTGCTGTCTGTACCAATTTTAATCCTTACCTGTCATCTTTCAGTTTGTCCGAGTCCAATAATGTTCTGTGTGTCTGTGGTGCTGCTTGGCTGTTGCAGACATCCCCGTGCAGAGCTGGGATCACGGTTCATCTTTACTTCTCACCTCCTTGCTCAGGCTGTCATGGTTTTCCCTCCTCGGCTTTTCCTAGTTACATGCACATGAAGTGCTTTATTCCCCCTCTTGGTTTGGCTTTTCCTTGGCTACCCAGCTTTCCTGCTGTGCGTGTTTTAGTTCGGACCCCCAGGAGCACAAAGTGCTTTCAGCACAAGGAACGACAAAATAAGCTGAGATCCTTCAGGGTGGCAGAGACACAGCTGGGGAGGAGATGTTTGGGAGATCTGTAAAATCACGATGTTGTGGAGAGGGTGGATAGGGATTGATTGTTTCCTATTTCTCAGCAGAAGAGCTAGGAGGCTTCTGAATCTGGCAGGAGGAGGGAGGTGCAGAAAATCCAGGGAGGTGGTTTGTTGAGTGGTGGGTTTCATGCTTGGGAATTCTTGCTGCGGAGTGTTGTGCGTGTGAGAAGTTTATGGACAGTAAAGGGACAGACACAGGCTTGTGGGGGGAAGAAGATGCTGATGGTTACTAAATACAGAGCATCACTTTGTCTCAGGAAGCCTTGACACTGCAAACTTTTGGAACTTGAATGGAAGTTCTGAAGTTTTTCTGTATGCTTGCCCAATCCTTTTATTCTTCCCTGTCTTGGCAAGCTGGATTTGGCCCATTAGCATGCTGCTGTTGTCTTAGTAGAAATTTGCAATAAAATAAGACGTTTAAACATGACCAAGAATGTTTCTTCTTCTAAATCCCCCTCTAGCATTTTATCTGAGTCCTTGTAATGACTCAAGTCCATCAAACTTGATCTGGGTTAGTCGTGGCAATCTTGTGGTGCAAAGCTGACATTTTGTGAGTGTGTAAGAGCTGTTGACAGTGTCAAGGATTGTCAGTTTGAGATGTGTGCTGCTGCTGTCCTTTTTTTTCCCCCCTCCTAAGTACCTGTTTAAACATGTAGTGCAATACTGGAGAGTCCCCAGTGCCTTCGCATTGTTCCCTCTTGGTACATAAATACATTTGAGCGTTTTTTCTCCATATATGTCCATTGTGAGGAGAGCATCCATCTTGAGAATTTTTGTCTGCCTTGTCATTTCAGTCCAAGTATGTTTCTTAGCACTTTTCTCATGCATTGTGCCACAAATGTTAAAAAAAAACCAAACACAATGCACAACCAAAAAAATCCCCACCAAAAAAACCCAAACCAAAGCCCTCCTACCCCCTTCAAACAAAGAAAGACAACCAACCAACAAACAGTGCAGAACAAAGTACTGTTTACCTTTTTTGTTTTCTGATGTTGAGCACTGTAATTTGCGTCCTTAGCATAACTGCAGTTATTCTGGTTTCAGTTCATTCCTGGTTTGAACTTGAGATGGGTTTAAAGTGCGAAAGCGAATGTAGACTTTCCATCCTTCTTCCCATCTTCAGCAGTAAGGGATCCTTCTCTATCTGACTGTTCAGGCTTTAAAAACAGGTTTCTCATTTATTCTAATAGATTTCATATGACTAGTTTAATTTCCACAACTTTTCCAAATATCTGCTAGTTTGTCTCTTCTCTCCCCCCTCTATTTATCTTTAGAATGTATAACTCTGGCTCAGAAAGATTATTTCGGAGATGTTTGTCCCCTTGTAGATAATAGCAGGAAAGAATCAGCAAGGAGAGCTTGTGAATCTTAAATAGTAACATTTTTATCTTCTTTCTTTTTTTTTTTTTTTGGCGAGCAGGTACAGGATTGTTGAACTGTTCATCTGATGAATGTTTTAAATCTTTTTCTGCCTTCAAGAAAGGCAAGGGACTTGGAGGAAGTCCTGAGACAATATTCCTTAGGTCATAATTTTCCTGAGACCATACCTGAAAAATCTGTACAAGATAATTCCTGAGCTATGGGTGAATCAGGCTGTTTTGATGTGTCCCTGCAGCACCTCGCATTCACGGAGAGACCAGTTTACTTATTCAGATCTCATTCCAAGGACATCACTGAACAGATAATTCACTCATTTGCTTTGCAGAGAGCATGAAGGGTAATGCTAGCTCCTTTAAAATTTTGGAAGTGTCTATCTCGGTCAATCTAACCTATTTAGCTGTGAATTATGTATGATAGTGCTCTATGACCCTGTCCATGCAGCTTCAGTGACCTCTTAAATCCTGACACCTGCTCGGCAATCAAGTGTCTGTACAGAAAGAGATTGATGTCACGGCAATATCTTGACTTTGAATGTATATATTACCAGCACCAGCAAAATCTATTGTAGCCCTTAATGTACAGTAATAGTCTTGTACCCTGCTTTGTCTCTGCCTTCCTCCTTCCCGCAGCCCCGTCAGTGCTGCTTGTGCAGCCTCGGGAGCGGTGGTGGCGAGAGGGCTCTGCCATCGCCATATGCTTGTTCCTGCTGGTTGGTGGCACGTCTGTGCCTCCTATGAAAGCGCGGCAGGAGGCCTCTCGTGCGTTCAGCTGGAATCCACAGGCTCTGGTAGGTGATTGCTAGGAGAAGTGATGGTTATGGTATCTCTGGTATTCTGTCTTTCTCCCAGGGACTGGTGACAGCTTTGCAGAAAAATGAGATTGGCTTGGAAGCAGGGGGTTAGGAAGGTGGAGAGAGGGATGCTCATACCCAAAGCCCCAGGATGAGAAGATCTAGTATTATCATGATTTTTTTTTTTATGTTCCAGAAGATTCAAGCAGAATTGTCCCTTACGTCTTAATAAAACAATTAAAAACAATTTAAAAGATCAAATAACTAATCTGATCCACCCCTTGGAGTCCATCTGCTGTGGAATTTAGAGAGGTGCTAGAGCTTGAAATAACGCTAATTACTGGTACGGTAACTGGCATTCGTCAAGGTGACGTGTGTTTTATGTGATGAGGAAATGGGGACTAGTAGTTGGTTCCAAAAACTCTTAAGCTTGGGGCAGTGCACGAGGATAGGTGGAACTTGTTGGGGAACAAAATGAATCACACGGGCAAAGTTTCCCAGTGCCTAGCTCTTTGAACACCTGCTTCAGTTCCAGTGAAGTACAGTTCCAGATAATGTGTTGTGGAGAAGATAAGACCCTGTGTCTGCATATAGTTATTTACCTTAATAAAATTAATTTATTTTAGGAAGCTGGGAAAAAAGAAACTTTTACATGTCTGAAAAAATGCCATTGAGATTTTCTCCTTGAAAAAAATAAATACAGCAGCACGTTGGTTCTGAGTGTATGGTTTTTCTAAAGTAGGAAAACTTAAGGAAATAAAATATATTTACAGATAACTTTATACCACCACACTCTTATTTTCCTTTTATGAACAGTTAAGGAAAAAGGTTTTGGTGGCTTTCAAGATGAATACCTGCCGTGAAATCTTCACCAGAGAATAATTAACAGGCAGCGGAGGACTGCTGAGGGAACAGTTGATCAGAGTGTATGTTAAGTGCCAACACACGGCTTTCTTTTCCTTGGTTGACATTTGTGCCTACTGAAACCTGTCCTGCCACGTTGCACAAGGGTGAGCTGGCTAACTCCCCTCAGTTAGTTTCGGGTCTCATTGTAGAATAATGGTTTGGCATTTTTGTCTTTTTTTTTGACACTTAAAAAATGTACTTAATGAGTTGGTGGATCTGGTAACAAAAGAATAATGGAATGTGGTAATTTAAAGTGAAATTGTACACTGATACTGAATTAAGTTGCCTTTTGTTTTTTTCTGGAGTTGACTGAAATTTAGCATCTGTCCTTTAGGACTACGTAGTGAAGTGAGCCATAAGATCACCCCTGTGCCTCCGTACCATGGGGTGTGAGTTCCACTGTGGTGTGGTCACTTGTTCAGTCTAAGGCAGGGAGGCCTGTGTGACCCATCTGTAGGGGTGTTTTTTCTTTCCACCTTAATTACATTTAAGATCTTGACTTCCCTGACAAATATGATTTGACCTCAGGCATCAGGTTTCAAAGCTAAATGAATTCTTACAAGTTTTGTTTAAAGACAACACAACCCCTCACCCACAAAGGGAACATCCCCCAGAAACCCCAGGCAGGGCAGGGGAGTGTTATTAACCCCTGTTGGCCAGGGAGAGGAATGTAATATGCTTTTTCCTCTTGAAAGCCAAAGTCTCTAATGTGCAAATCCGTAGGGCTCTGTGCCTCATTGGCTCAACTGCTCACGGAGAGGTCTTGCTTTGTGTTTTGCAAACAAAACCTCTTTGAATGGGCAGAATTCTGTATGTGATACTGCTGTGTATAAGTATGCAGCTCTGAGTTTTGCGAATTTAAGATTAACAATTAAAATGTTTTAGAATCAATGTTTCCTATGCTGTGCGCGACTTTAAAAGGCATTAACAAGTCTGAAGTATCTCTGTGATAGAATACAGTCATTCGGAAGAGATGTCTGTCTACTGGACTTTTCATTTACCAAATACAATCAAACTGTTGCAGTTGGGGGATAAAATAATGTTCACAGTAAGTTGCTCTTGTAACAGAAATTCTAGCACAAACAGTGTTTGCCATTTTTGTCTTCAGAATGATTGAGGAGAGTGGGAAGAGGAGGAGGACAATGGCAGAGAAGAGGCAGCTGTTCATGGAAATGAGTAAGTAAGAAATTAGAAGCCATAGTGTCATTTGTTCTTCACTGAGAGCTTCGCTTCGGTAGCTTTACCACATCATTTACATCTTGTTTCCGCAAGACCGTTGCCTCATTTAGCGAAAAGCATCCTGGGTGCTGGTCAGGAGGAGAATACTAGAGGTGGGTCACAACTGCATAAAAGGTCTTTCACTTCTGGGTTTTGTGAAGCTCCTTTGCTAAGGAACGTTCACGTTTCTCATGTACGGCAATACCTGAAGTTTGTGGATGACTATTAAAATGAATGACAACAGACAGATCACCTTTTTCTTTAAAAAAAAAAAAAGATGAAAAAAGAATTGCACTGCAATGCTAGTGTGATTGAGAAGAGAAAGTTTGAGGGGCTGGTTTTTTGTACTGGACCATTCTCTGAAATGTAAGTTGTAATTGTTAGTCATGGATCACAGGAGGGTTTGGGTGGGAAGGGACCTCGAAGCCCATCCAGTGCCACCCCCTGCCATGAGCAGGGACACCTCCCACTAGCCCAGGTTGCCCAAAGCCTCATCCAGCCTGGCCTTGAACCCCTCCAGGGATGGGGCATCCACAGCTTCTCTGGGCACCCTGGGCCACTGCCTCACCCCCCGCCCAGGAAAACATTTCTTCCTCACATCTCATCTCCATCTCCCCTCGGTTGTTACTAGAAATCAAATGCCTGTGCAGAGAGAGTGCAATTTACAGGCATGAAGCATAGCCCTTTAAAGAGACATGCGATTTTCAAGTAAAAGATGGTATGTTTGCATGGCATCATGTTATGTGACTTTCCTCCAGGAGCACAGGACTGAATGAAATTCCTGGAGTAGGCGTGTCCTATAATGCCTGTTATAGGCTGATGAAGGTCTGTCTTAAACCAACAGCGTATTTGTGCTGTTTTGTTGAAGGAATTCCAGAGTAACATTCTGACTGTGGTTATAAGCGTCTTACAATTTCAGGAACAGTTTCACCCCTGGCTATTTTCTATCTGCTCCCTCTCGTGTGAGACCACTCTTGGACAGGATCTCTGCCCACCTTCCCTGCCTGCTTTGCGTTTGACTTCATAGACGTGTCCCTCTGTGGCTTGTTCAGCGTATGGCACAAGCCAGTTCCTGTGGTCTCCCTGCTGCACACCCCATCTCCTGCTCTTCTCTGCCTCTCTCCAGTTTTGCAAACTCTCTGTGATATCCTGGGTGAGATCTCATTAGAAGCTTTTAAAATGACAGTGGTACTTCTCCGCCAGAAATTCTTTGACTGGTGCATCAAACTATTATATTTGTCTTGTGCCTTTAAAGTGTTGTAGTTGTCTTGTGATCATTCAGTACAGCAGTTGACTTGCTAGTTTTTCACTTTGGCTAAACTGTTAAAAATATTCAGAATTCTCCTGATGCTCTTTACACAAGGTGTCTGTTCTCGCAGCTGTGGTTCTGGCTGTCCTTTAGCAGTGATGTGCTAGTGCATAGACATTCCAACCTGTCCTTCTCCGTGAGAAATGAAAAAAACATTTTTACTTTTTACTATGAGGGTGGCTGAGCACAGGGAGAGGTTGCCAGGCGAAGCTGTGGAGTCTCCATCCTTGCAGATGTTCAGAACTCAGCACAGTCCTGGGCAGATTGCTGTAGCTGGCCCTGCTTGAGGAGGGAGGCTGGACTCGATGATCTGCAGCCGTCCCTTCCAGCCTCAGCTGCTCTGGTTCTGAGCTGTACAGCTTGTCTTGAAAACACATCCCATTGTATCTTCGGATAGTTCAGAGGAATGACCTTGAAGCTTTTGTGGTGGTCTGACATAAGAAGACAACAGAAAATGGATTGCTTTTTGGTTTTGTTTTTGTATGTAGCTGTTAAATGACCATATATATAAAAAAAAATACATGTATACTTTGTATACATTTATTTACATATATTTTATCTAGACAAAGCATTTTGTAAAGATTTGTGGTCTGTGGAAGTGCTTTTGTGGTTTGAAAGACAGAAGTACATGCTCTCATTGAGAGTTTTGAAAGAACATTGCCTAGAAAATACAAAATGAGCTGTTTTGTTGTGGCCTCGGGTCGGAATAGTCCAGCTCACGTTACCTGGGCAGGTCCTTTCCTGAAGTATCTCAGCAAGCAGTTTTTTAAAGATGATACTGTGGAACAATCCACTTGAATTAATTGCACCATATTGTCAAGCAGATCGCTCCTCAGTGTTGGCTAGCCCAGTGCCGCTCCTAGGGAAGTCTGGATCGGGAAGCCGGTGAGCTCCTGACTGATCTTACGGGAGTCTTCTCGTCCCGCGTTCTGCGTCACTGGTGGAAATAATCCTTGTGTGTCACCTGTGAGACACAGCACATGGGTCTCTAAGAACAAGCAGATGCTTTGGCATTGTATTTACACAATTGTGATGAAATATCTGACAGACAAGACTATTTTCTATCTTGAATTTGCATGCAGCAATTCCAATGCGGTATTTGCAAGGTTCTGAGTTCAGAGTGTAGGGAGGGCGTGAGTTATCACCTTTGAGCGAGACCCCCTGATCCAACCGCCTCTGGGAGGATGCGGGTTTGGCTTTATGCTTTTGTTTTAAAGTCTTTTAGAAGCCTGGATTCTATAGATTACAGTTATCCCTTTTCTCTTCGTTCTCTACTCATCAAGGCTCTGGCTTTTGGGAGCAGCGAGAGCCTGCAGCAGCTCCTGCTTTTTGCTCTCCTGGGAGAACACAAGAGGTGCAGGAGCCCTGTGCATCCGTGCCATTGCCCACGTGTGCCTGCCTTGTTCCAGACTGCACCTTAGCCCTGCATCGGTTGTAGGATGGAGCTGCTAATGCTGGTGAACTGAGAGCCGTTAAACGGCCTTTGGGTTTATTATTAATGGGATCTTCAAGACTGGACTTGTTGTCTGCTTCCAAATTAGAAATGATCAATACTGGACTTTAAACCAGTATAATTTATCATCCCCACATCCTTTCTCGTCTGATTTGGTCAGTGTAGGAGGCACACAGATGTGTTTGGCAGCGGGTTAACGCAACTCTCTGAACTTGCTCAAGGTTGTAGTGTTGGGAGTTCCTGCTGGAGCTGGTAGAGGTGGTCCAGAGTAGTGACAGATAATAGCCATCAGATCTCTTGTCGTGCGCTCTTTGGAGGTATAACACTGACATGGCTTGAAGGGGGAGGGTGTTGGTGAAGATATTCTTTCATCCATGCCTTTTCTTCTGCTTCTTACCTGATTTGGGTCTATTTGGGAGGCCAACAGCATGCTCCTGGTGGGGCTGCCATGCAGGTGGTGGTAGCAATACCCGCCCCCCCTTTTCTTTCTCTCTTTTGTGCACACATCCTCCGGCAGCAGTGCAATCCTCTTCCTTACCCACTCACCACTTCATTCCTCCTTCCTTTTAACCTACTCATATCAGGCTCAAACCTCGGTCCATTTATAATACACAGCTGAGAATCATCTTACCTGGAGATACCTAATAAAAACCTTTGTCATTTTCATGAAAAAGCTGATGTACATGAAGACACACTTGTACCATGTTTGAAGTAACTCTCTCAGATAAGCTGAATGTTACAGAGGAAAGAAAAACACAAACTTTTTCTTTATTCATAGGAGCACAGAATTTTGATGTCATCAGACTTTCAACATATCGAACAGCCTGTAAACTGCGGTTTGTACAAAAAAGATGTAATCGTAAGTTATAATTACTCTTTATCTTCAAAAATTTCTCATGCATGATTGTTTCAAATGTTTTACCCATGTGAATTTTAAGTCTAGCAAGAGAAATATTTTATCAGATGGTGGTAGTTGTTACTTAAAGTAACTAGAGATTAAATATCTAATTAAAAAGAGGCAATGGTCTTTGTCCACTATATAATATCTTCAATTTTATTATTTAATGCTTCTAAAATTTAAAATCCATGGGCCAGCTTGACATATTTCAGTAGCCCGAAGCGCTGGAGGCAGGCAGGCTGAAGCTGTTTGAGCTCCTGTTCCATCACTGTGCACCCCAAACCCCTGCCAGCAAGGCACGGCGATCAGTTTGGTGATGCACGAGACAGTCACTGGCAGGAAAGTCATCAATACATGTGATGTAGAAATGGTAAAAAACTCTGAGTTGATGCCATACTAGTCAGTGTAAGTTTTCTCATTCTCTCCCGTGGTCCTTTGACCTTGGATAGCCCACCAAAGGAAGGGTTGCTCCAAGGGTGCGTTCTGCTGCCAGGGCAGCAAAAAGCCGAACAGACCAATGTACCCAGGAGTAGGTCCGTGCTCCCAGTGGGGTGGAATTAGTGCGTGGCTGGTGTGAGAGAGGACAGGAGGACATACGTGACTCCGCACAGCAGATTGTATCTCCTCCGTTGGGCAGCCCACCCGGGATGTGTCTCATCGGGCGGCTGTGGCCGTACCGCAGTGCTTCTAGTTTAGCAGATGGCTGACAACTTTCTCATTCCTGTGGAACAGTGATAGTTCATGCTTTTGAATGAAAAATCTCTCTTAGAGAGATAGTAAGAAATGCTGATTGTAGTACCTGGCACGCTTTGGCCCCAGCTTACTGATGCCATGCATATGCCCTGAGCACCCTTTACCGTCCGTGTATGTAGAGCTGAGGCTGGGCGTCTGTGAGCTTTGGACCACAGCGTGATCCGGGGGCATATGCTTGGTGCAAACAGGTCGCTTGGCTTTTATCCTTGTGTGGTTTTTATGTGAGAAATGTAGAGACAGGTTTTATTGAAGATGATCACCCTCTCCCTTCAGACTCTTTTTTGTAAGTTAAGGAAGATAGCAGAAGTTGTGAAGTTGGCCAATAAATCAGTCCTTCGTAACCATTGGCTCACGTTCTGTTTGGACTGATGGATCACTGTTGGTCCTTAGATGTCTTCTCCCACTGTTGTGCGTAACTTTCAAGTTTTGGAACATTTAGAAATATTATTTAGTGTGGTTCTGCAGATCACTTGCTGTGGTTTTGGAAAACTTTTTCTCTACGTTGTTAACGTGTCTTAGATATGTGCTAAGATACAGCAGGGTAATTTAGGGAAACTGGAATTCTAGAGCTATGTTTACAAAGTATTATGCTTTGAATTTGGGAACTGGATGAACTGGGAACAGTCATAGTTTAACTGGAACATCGAGTTCCTCCATCAGTACTGAACTACTAGTCAGCATGAGGGTGTTCAAAATCATTGTTACCAATTTGTAGTGGATTTAGAATATGGCTGATGTCCTCCTCAAATGCCAGAACACACTGCATGGTGATGGAAGATCACTTTTCTCCTTCATGTAGTTTTTCTCTCAGAGCAGCCAGATACTGAGGGGTGGAATAAAAGGGCAGACAAGATGTCTGGGCACTGCTCCGTTACTTTAAATGGATACGAGCTATGAGTATGGATATCAGGAGTCTGTCTCTCACTTTGAATGCAAATAAGTAACTGTTCATTCCAAAATAAAAGCTAACATAGTATTCAGAAACAGTACCATGAAAGTAAGCTTGCATGCTTTACAGAAGTTAATTTTTTTTCCTTTATTTTTAGTTCATCTTGTTGATATCTGGAATATGATTGAAGCCTTCCGAGATAATGGCCTTAACACTTTGGATCATAACACAGAGATCAACGTGTCTCGACTAGAAACAATCATTTCATCCATCTACTACCAGCTAAACAAACGCCTTCCTTCTACTCACCAAATCAGTGTAGAGCAATCCATCAGCCTCCTCCTCAACTTCATGATAGCAGCGTATGACAGGCTAGTAACTCCTCTAGTTGTATTCTTAAACTAATTTTCTCTTTTGGTTAGATGGACGCAGCCAACAACTGCATGAGTGTCTGGCAAACTGTCCGCATGCTGTTTCTCACGTTCATGAAATTGTGTGATGCGCATACACACACATACACACAAGTATTTAAAATCATAGTAGTGCCTGCGGAGATTTACAGTGCTTTAAAATTGCTTTCTGAAGTGAGATGAGCTGGTGCCTTCTGGAGCTTGCAGACTCCTGTAAGCAGTGTACCTGAACTGAAGGTGAAACTGCTCTGCAGACCGTGGTGGGACATAATGCTAACCTCATGGTGGTACAGCACTGTTTCAAAAAGTGAAGGTGTTTCTTTGAATCGAGATCAACAAGACCATTTTGTAGCGTACCTTATTTTGACAGCCAGCTTGCATCCCATTCTGACACGCTGTGACCCCATAAAGGCTAATTCTCATTTCTCGGCAGGAAGAAGCTTGATTTCTTGCCCAGGGTACTGCCTAGGCATCTCCTTGTGTCCAGTTTCATGAGTTTCTTTTGCAGCTTGTTTCTTCAGGGTTCGGTCCTAATCCTGAGTAGCTGTGTCTGTGGGTTCTCAGAGTAGCAACTGCAAATCTTTCACTGTTGTTCAGTGCTTCTTGCTTTTTGTCTTTCTCCCAGTCAGCTATGGTTTCAGTCTTCTCTTTCCTCTGCTTTTGCCATCTCTCCCAGTCCTAGGGAACTGCTTGGGGCCAGGATGCTGTCCCAGGGACTGAGGAGTTTTACCCCAGACAGTCTGCAGCCCTGGATGTGCCAGAGAGCTGCTCTGTTTGACATATCCAGACTTTGATCCTTTCCTAATGTGACGACTTCTTATTGTCACCAAACAAAAGCTAGGCTTCCCCCCAAAAAATCCAAGACTTCAGAACAATCCCTGTCTCACTAAGGACACATAGAAACAACCCAAAGCTCTGAGCAGGAAGACTGCTATGACAACAGAATCAAATGTGTATTTTTCTGTTTAGTTCTCATTTGCTGTTAGTTGTGAGACAAGCTGTAAGGGTCTGCTGATGGTTTAGTTATCCTGAGACAGATCGCACGAGGAAATCTAGAATCTAAACATAGTAGTGGTCATGGTTTGGGGAGATGCCTCAAAAAAATGAGGCTTTGGTTAGAGAGATGTTTTTCTCCCTCACTGCCCCCAACCCTGTGAGTTCTGCATCTTCTGGAGCCCAAGCAGCAGGCTCGATCCCTGCCCGGTACAGCAGCTTCTCCTCTGCCTGGCACGTGGGATGGAGAGAGAAGCTGGGATGCTGCGCTGCCTGGTGCAGGGGGAGAACCAGGGGAGGAGAGGCAGGGCTGAGGCTCCCTCTCCAGGAGTTCATCAGCATGGCAGACGTTTATTTTAGAACAAGAAGTACACATCTGCGCTGAACTCGCATCGTTGGGTAGCTGTGGGGTTGCTTGAATGCACGTGGCGCAGTGGCTCTTACAACGTGGTGCTGGTGGTGGCATCTCAGAGTCATGAGCGTTCCACCAAACAGCTACAGGCGTCGAAGATTTGACTAGCACCTTCCCCACAGAAATAGTGGAGTTAGAGCTTATGTTAGGTACGTGTGAAAAATGCTTGCGATGAGCGGTTCACTGGGACCCGCAGAACGCCGCTGGCCACGGGGCAGAGATGATGGCTCGTGCTGCATCGGTGGGGAGTTGTGAGGAGCGGCTGTGGTGTGATGTTCTGCGCTGCTTGCTCCCACAGAGCTTTGCACGGGCGTTTGATTTGTTCCTGGTCTGCTTTTCCCAGCGGCCTCGCATGGTTTTCCCAAGTCCCTGACCCCTCACAGGCACTGCAGAGTAACAGCTCGTTCCCTGACCCCACTTGGCTGTTTCAGACCAGTCAGCTTTATTTCAGTGTTTGTAGAAATCACATTTAGCCTGACAGTGAGTTGAGTTGCTCCAACTTCTTTTTCTTTTTAAATTATAGGCACCTAACCACACTATGGTCATAATGAAGCAGTGTCCAGTAAAGGGCAGGGAGAGAGTGACCAGCACACAAGTGAGCTGGCGAGCAGAGTGGGGAGTGATGCGATAGGAGGAACCTTGCAATCATCACAGCAAACCTTCGAGCGTATACCGAAGGAAATGCCGACAGATCAGCTCTCATGTCTTTTCTGGGCAATCGGCATGACCGGGTGCCTCTCTGAAGTGTTTGCACACTTGCCTGCAGCATGGGGAGCAAACAGGAGGAACGAGAGGTCCAGAGAGGATGCGGTGGGAGAGCTGACACAGCTGGGATGCTGCAGTGGGGACGGACAAGGAGGGGGAGCTGCCCTTTATGCTAGAGTGTGGCTGCAGGGCATGGAGCTCTGCCTGGGGATGGATGGTGAGCCAGCGGGGAGGCTGAGTCAGGATTAGTGGGCAGTGTGACGTGGACATCATCGCTGCTGGTGTCTGCTGTGGGCTGCCTGGTTAGGAGGACGCAGGCAACTGGAAGAAGCCTCATGTACAGAGGCCCCGTCTTGTTTAAACGAGTCCCCCAGTTCTGTTTCCAGTCCTGAGAGCTCCTGGTGGTCATAGGAGTTTCAAAGTTTTGCCCTTTTCCCCTTTGACAGGGAATTCAGCAGATTGAACAGCATTGGTATGAACATCTGTTTTGGCAAGTTGCTTCACTACACCTCGACCAGATTGCAGGGGGAGGAGTTTTGCTTTTTCCTTAATTAACAAACAGAATGTCAGCAGCAGCAGACCTCCTGTCTGAAGGCACCATAAGATACCTTTGCTGGGATCAGTTTGGGTCTTCTGAGGAGATACTGATGCTTTAGTCACTTGTGTTTTCTGGAAGTTAGTTCAAAGCTGAACTCTTTTGAGAGAAAATGAATGTCTGTTAAAAAGAAAAAGGGGAAAGGAGGCTGAGACTGTAACGTAAGGAGATTTGAATTAGCTAGTAAGATGTGCTCAGACGAAGGTGGAGGTCAAGGCTTGAAGAGGATGAACTTTTCAGACAACCACTTTCAGATGTAGTCATTTTTTTTTTTTCTTCAGAGAGAGGAAATGCCAACTTATACCTTTGAGAAAGCTATTTAAGAGAAAAGACAAACAAAATAGGATAGCTGAGATCTTTACCTTGTTGTTAACTTCATAGCTTTTATGTATCTTAAATAAATATCCAATGTGTTTAGTTTTCTCCCTTTGTTTAGTCTCTTCAGACAGCGATGAAAAGGGCACTGGGTATCACCGAAGCGATGGCTTTCGAGTTGCCGTTCCTGTTCCCAGATCCTCTTGCAGCTGCAGCTCTAGGAGAGATTGCCTCTCCTCTGTAGAGGGAATACTTGGAAGATACTCCGAGTCTGTGTTGGGAAAATCGCATATTATGTTTCAGGTGCTTCTCAGCCTCAGAAAGCAACCTTTTGTTGTTGAGAAACTTAACTTTTGTTAAAATTGAGAAGCTTTACCTCACTGGGAAGTGTGGGAGGTAATATTGCATCTTAACTCTGAATGTGGAAGGGGGAAAAAACCTTATTTGGCTCCTTCGTGACGTCTCCATCTGGTTGCTTGTCTGTCGTTGGCATTAGACCTTGTCACTCTGCAATATCATGAGCCAATATTTACTTAAAATTCTTTTATTCTTGACACTTTCTGGGTGCTAGTTGTCCAAGTGCAAACACTAAATGCACACCTTGTTTCCCCTGAGGAGTATCCTGGAGTTTGTTCTCTCCTAACACTCATCACGTATTTTCCCCATCATCCTGTTTCTCACCTTAGTACAAATTATCTGTCCAATACATTTAATTACAGTTACTTGAACGTGTTTTAGTTCTTTTTCTCCCTTTCAATGTGACTTTAACTCTCCTGGCGGTTTACCAGCCTGTGCCACTGTTTATAGCTCAGGGCAATGACTCGGTACGTTCCTGTTTGGCAATAAGTTGCTCGGAATTCCAACAGCTTTTACCCACGTTGACACACGTTTATTCTGCTCTACACCCCGCTAAACTGACAGCTTCACAGTGACAGTGGGTTTACGCTGCGATAGCCACACTGTGGCTGTCCAACACCATATACTGGAGCTTTTCTGACTCCTGTCTTTATTGCAATGAAAGAGAGAAATTCCGGAGGCAGGGAGGCAGGATGCGTGCCTTCGGGGCCAGCACCAAGCTTAGAGAAACGAGTGCTGGTGCCAGTTGTGCTGTGCTTTCACCCAGCAAGCCGCCTTCTGTGTTTCTAGTGACTTAATTCCCTCATAATTCCATCCTTGTCTGTCTTTCTGCTAACAGGAATAACCCACGAAGCTGTTTCTATCGTACCGTGCTGAACGGGCTTTTTCGTACTTTCCATAGAGACCAATTCATTTTCTCTTGCGGAGACAAGCAGATGATTCCCAGTTGTGCCATCTCTTCTGATAGCCCAGCAGCTTTATTAGCTTAGAAGAAAGGATTGCTCACGTTATTCCTGTTCTGTGTGGTGTATTTTGGATCTCGTACAGCTTCTCTGCTAGCTGTCAATGACTGTGCTGTCTTTAGAATGAAATGAGTATTTGAGCATCAGACTTTAAATCAAGGAGTAAAAAATTAAAGCAACTAACAAAGGGTAGCAGAGGAAAAAAAAAAGATGTTTTATAGTGAACAAATGTATTTTAATGGAAAAAATAAATTAACATGTTACTTTTTCTAGGACAGTTATGGGATGAACAAGACAAAGGGTAGTCTCTTTACCTGTGCATTTTTCATAATTCTGCAAGAAAATTTGATTTGTGTTTAGGCACTTGCTAACTCTTCCAACATATTAAAAATGCTGGTGTTATCCCTGTTTTAATGTTACATTAAATAATTCTAGTAGTTAAATGTGCATTACCTTCCGAGGCCTCAAGTCCTTTTGTTGCTTACCATTCCCTGTCGTAGTTACTCACCATGTAATTTTGTTTTCACAGCGAGGGCCATGGGAAGCTGACGGTGTTTTCAGTGAAAGCCATGCTAGCAACAATGTGTGGCGGTAAAATACTGGACAAACTGAGATGTAAGTATCTGCAAGTAAATCAAACCACTTCATGAAGGATTTTGTTCCATTACTGGCCCCGTATGATGCATTACGTTCCGAAAGCTAACTGCTTTGCTGGTTCAAAAAGACAGTGGAAGGAAGCTTGCTGTGTTCATGTGTTTGTCGCCCATGCCATCTGCTGGCCATGGAGCAGGCTGAGTTTGTTACTGAGTGGGCTTTACAAATACACTTGTTTATTTTGAAATGCTCGGACATTTCTCTAAATGTAAACCTTCAGGTCTGATTTTTCTGATAGTAATGGCAAATTTGTGCCATTTCCCCTGTTTTGAGGGTGTTGGGGTCCTTCTGTATATCTTCTGCTTCATCAGAGGCACTCTGCATCTTCTCAGTCTGTAATTCCAGCCTCTCCGTTCTTATTTTTTAACTCTTTTTTTTATTCTCTTTTTGTCAATCTTCCTTTTTTTTCTTGTTTCCATGAGCCTTCTGTTGTATCAGTAGAGGATCAGTGAGATCCATAAACATTGTTTTTGTCCCTCAGTAGTAATTCTTGTCCTCTCTTTCTTAGTAGCGAGGTGTATTGTTGTTATGGGTGTTTTTTCTTTTCCTTTCCACCCTGAAAAGCTGGGAAGTTTGCTATCAGTGCCAGATTTTCCTGTTCAGGTCTCATCAATTTCACCTCACCTTAGATTCCCCTTATGAAAGTTATCTTGCAATGATTCATTCCTCCTGATCTCCATGGTTGTCATTCACTGTCGGTAATTCTTTACCCTTCTCTACATCATTTACCTGCTTTAGTATATTTGCTTTAATATTCATGATGTGAAACACTGACGGACTGAATTAAACTATGTGACAAGGTCTGAAAAATAGATAGTGAGTAATCACTGGATGCACACATTAATATTAAGGCTGCGCGTGTTTTTTCAGTACCAGGAAATGCTGTTTTTTAAATCTGGTAGTAACTATAAAACTCTCTGGTTAAAAACAAAGCTGCAGGTGAGTAGAGATTAGTGTTCAATAGAGTGGGGAGGCATGCGTGACAGAGGATAGTTAACACTTCCTGAGCATGTTTAACAAGTGCTTTACCTCTATAAAGTGTGCAAGGTCAAACACGGGGGAGAAAAGACAGAGACTCTGTCTCCTCAGTCGAAGATTACATTTTGGATTTAATTAGGATGAGAGTCGAGGAGGCTGCAGCAGATGAGCAGTTCAGCGCAGGCCTGGGACAGAAAAGGACTGTGATTTCTAGAATTAGCAGGACTGCAGCTGAACCACATCATGGCAATGTGACCTTTTACTGGAAAAGGCAATTAACCACTGCAGTTAAACACTACAGGAGTGAGTAAACTTACGATGTTTTCAGACAAAGACCTGGCTATCGCTCTGGAAGTTACGTTGAGCCTCAGGTTATTGATTCGAAAGGTGGCTGGTTAAGATGCTTTCACCTGAAGGACACCTCATTTAATAGCCCTCTTCAACAGGCGTGTCCAGTCTAAAAACTTAACATGTGTGCATTTAACCTCCTGGGCCCTCTCTCTGTGTCTTTTTCATGATGTTTGCTTTTCTTCATAGCCTTTGAAGCTTCCTTTCTCTTTTTTTTTTCTTATCCCATTGGCTCCCGTTTCCTTTGTGACTGTAACTTTCTTCCTTATAAAAATTCTTAACTGATGTTCATCGGCGTTGGAGGAAAGGCTTTTGACTGCTTTCACTGAATAGCGCTCCTCCTTCTGGCTTTGCCATATTCTGGTTGTCGTGCCTTTTACTTCTTCCTTCTTGTATCTTATCAGCTGACCTTTAGTTTGTGTTGTACTTCTGGGCTCGTTCTATCTGCTGTCCCTTTTTTCTTGGTGCACTCTGGATGTGGAGCAGCATTTCCAAAGAGCATGTGGCTTTGGATTTGGTGTCCTTGGACAGTAACACCTCCGTCTCTTTTAATTCAGTGTTAAAACTCCGTTCCCCTCTTGCCTTTTATGCGCATCACTCGCATGGACTTCCCACCTTTGGATGTTTCAGAACTGTTGACCACACCTGTTTAAAGCCTATTTTGGTGAGGGTTTTGCTGTTGTTGTAGGCTCTGGCACTTCTTTCACGTGCACCATCTGCTGTGCACACTCCTCTGTCACTCCTGGATGCTCCTTTTCCCCCTCGTGTGCTCGGTGTTGTCTCAGTTAAAGGCTGGATCCACCTCCCTGTTATTCTCTGAGATGCTCACGGTGCCGTGTCCGAGGCACGGAGGCAGGGGCTGAGTGCGTGATTGGTGACATTGTCCGGGAAAAGAGGGCTCATCTAATTCAAACTGAGATTTCAGGAGTATAGGAGCAAAAAACTTTCTCTAAACCAAGATAGTATGAGGCTATTGGCTTTTGAAAAGCTGTAGGAGAGCTTTCTGTGGAACATGGGAGAGGATCTGAGATTCGGGAGAGTAGGATCTTGTCCACCTGAGCGTAGAGGAGAAGAGAGGGGTGTCATGTTGTTAGCGGGATGTTTCTGAGCATCACCAGAGCTCGAGAAACGTAATAAAACAACTGAGCTCTTGACTGTGGGTTACCTGTCTTTCTGGAGACTTTCTCAGGGGCAAGGGAATAGGAAGAAATGTGATGTGAGGTTTGGGAGGGGAGGTGCAGGCAGGTGTACCTGACACACGCTCTGTGCAAGCTGTTTGTAGTGAAAAATAGAATTAGTTGATGAATGAATAAATGAGATTTTATTGCTGGGGGAAGTGGCTTTTGTAAAGGGATGCCTTATAAAACCACAGGAGTTCATTAAAGTAGACAAAATAAAAAAAGAAATGGTCAAAGGAGGTCTGGCTGATACAGACTTGGATTTCTGAAGGCATTCAGGAAGGTATTTTATCAAACACTTAAAGCCATTTAAGTTTGATGAAAGGGATGAAATGCGAAGTCTTTGAGTGGGTAGGAGATTGGCTAAAAGGAACCAACAAAGAGCAGTAAAGATCCTTTTTGTATGTTGAGATTGGACCTGAACTGCTTTAATGCTGTCATGAATGAGCTGGAAAAACAGAGAAGTGACAATGGGATACACAGTGAAACGGGGCAGTGAAAGCTAAAACAGGCTGAAGAGTCGTCCTATCATCTGACAACACTGAGTAACTGTGAAGTAAGATGGCAGGTGAAATTCCCTGTGAAGGTATGCGACGTGGCGTGAAATTCCCTGTGAAGGTATGCGACGTGGCGCACGCTGGAGGAGGGGAGGGATGCAGTGCACAGAAAGGTGAGCTGAGAACATTGCTGCTCAGACGAGAGATCTTGGAGTTATGCTTCTATGAAGGTTTTAGTAGTGGCTCAAAACCATTTGTCACGTTACAGAGGCATGAAGAACAAAGCGGAGGGCTAAAGGCACTGTATAAATCCACGGCGTCTGTGCTTTGCGTGAGCGCTGCTCGAGCATCCCCGTCGGGTACTCTGCCCTCTCCAGGTCTGATAGATCCTTTCTGGGAAGAGCAACAAAGCTCATCGAAGGTAGAGAAAGCTTTCTGCACAAGGAACAGCTAGACAGCGCAGGATTCTTCAACCTGGAAAGAAAAATGGTAGTGCAAGGCTAGTGTTGTATAGAATAGAAAAGAGCTGTTCCTTCCCCTTCCAACACAAGAACCAAAGGGCAGTAACTCACATCGGCACTGACAGATTGAACAACAAAAACCAGTGTCGCTAAACTTTACCAAAGGATCTTGTTGGTATCAAACACTTACACCACCTCATGACTCCTTGAACTGATTTCACTGAAAGCAAATTCATCAGAGGCTGCTGGATGCAAAGATGGTGAGTGGAGGAATATTCCGGGGAACGTGCTTGCCGGAGCCATCTGCTGTTGGAATAAACAGGCTTTTGATCTGATCTGCCTCAGCTGTTCTTACAGGCTTTTTTTCTTTTTCTGATCGTTATGAATATGTTGTCTTGGTTTTTTTTTTTTTCCCTTTCCTGTCTTTCCCACCCGTCTCTCTGATTACTGACCCATTTCATCGCTGAGCTCCTTCTGTTTCCACTTTTCTTGTTCCCTGATTCCACCCCCTCTCCTGTGCTGTCCCTGCTCCCTTTCCTGAGCAGGCTGGCTGCTCCGGCTCAGCTGGACACAAGGCTTGCTGGAAATCCTGCAAGTTGTAAATATATATATATTTTTTTTTTCTCATCTCATAATGTTTATGAACGATAGTAACTTGGTCTCTGTACTTGCATATGTTCAGGCTTATTTTTTAAAATTCTGAAAATGAGAACAAATGGAGCGTTCTGCAGCCCGTGCAGCGTCTGACAGCACAGATGAGACGGGAGTTGTTCCATGGTACCACTTGGCTGTCTCTGGAAAAGAGACAGATTTCCTCTGACAAAGGAGTTCCTCTGTGTGAGGCAGGAGTTGTGACCCCAGCCCACTGCTATGGACTTCATCATTTCTGTCTCAGCTTTTTAAGCCAAAGAAATGCAATATAAAATATACTGACTTTGGTGGGTCTGGATGACTTCATTTTGGCATTCCAGGAGATTCAGTAATTAGTGCTTCCTTCCATGTCATTTCTACAAGTAAACTGCAAACAGAGCTTCAATTTAATCAAGACCCCACTCTGCTGGTTTTAAGGGCTGGCTGACTTCTCTAATGACTGTCTCTGCCTGTGTAGTGCTCCTTGGCCCCTCGTCTCGCTGGCTCTTTTTTTCCTTTCTCTATCTGGCTCTGATGAGTCTTTGATGCTTACTGAAGTTCAGCGTAAAAATTCCTGCAATAATGTCTGCTAAAGACTGGGTTTTGCTTAACAAAGGCCCTGGAAGTTAATCTGCTGTAGATGAATTAGCCCGATTGTGGGGCTTTGACTAGGGCAAAGGGTATTTTGGTTTTTGGAGGAGTGGGGGTAAAAGAGGAGTTATTTGTTTTGGTTCTACTCAGTGGACCAAAGTAGTAGTAATAATAATATGTGGTGGGTTGTGGTATCACATCTATTCAAACTGAACAAGCTCAGTACAGGATTTTATGCAGGCTTTACGTCTCGTTTATAAAAAAACATGAGGAGTTGCCACAACACCTGATGTGATAGCAGCAAGGCTGCGGCAGCATCATCTCCCCAGTCTGCCAGTGGGGAGGGTGGACGTGCATTCCCAGTAGGAACACACACACCCAGCCACGTGGATCAGTGCAGACAGAAAATAGCCGTGCAACCATGAACGGCACCGATGGCCTGGCTCTGTTCCAGGGTGAGAGCCTGTTAGTGGTGTACATATATACGTATCTATGTGTGTGCCACACACCCTATGGATCCCTCCAGTGCCTGGTTTGGGTGCTCATCTGTCCAGCAGCTGGTCCTTGGAGCCTCTTTGATTCTCTGCTCTCTCCTCTGGACTTAGGACCTCTCTGATACCTAGCTCTCAAACTCTAATCACTACATTTTCCTCCAAAAGCATCCTCATAACGTCTTTGGTGTTATTGTCTCTTCTCAGTGTCTTCCCCGGGCTGAACAGTTGCTGTTCCCCCAGCCTGTCCTCCCAAGAGGAGCACTCCAGCGTGCTGACCATCCTTGTAGCCCTCCGCAGAGCTGACTTCAGTTTGTCTTTCCTAGTCTGTGATTCTCAGCAATTCACTGATTCTGGGGAGGTCCCAAAACTGGCCACAGTACCTAGAGGAGGTCTAACAAGTGCTGTGTGGAGGAGGATGATCACGTTGCTGGCTGAGCTCCTGTTCACACAGCCCCGGGTGCTGTTGGCCACCTTTGCTGCCAGAGCACGCTGCTGGCTCACAATCCCAGAATGGTTTGGGTTGGAAGTGACCTTAAAGACCATGGGCAGGGACACCTCCCACTAGCCCAGGTTCAGCTTGTGCCCTCAAAACCCCCAAGGACCTTCCCAGCAGAGCTGCTCCCCAGCTGGATCACTGCCGGAGTCTCTTTGTTCCCAAGGGCAGGACTTTGTGTTTGTCCTGTTTGGATTTCCTGCTGTTCCTGCCAGCCCATTCCTCCAGCCAGCCCAGCTCCTGCTGGATGGGAGCCCATGCCCTCAAGGGTATCACCTGGTCCCACCAATTTGGCATCATCTGTGAACCCGCTGAGCAGGACATGTCCCCGGACAGATGCCACCAGCAGTCCGCTTGTTGTTGGTCTCCACGTAGAATTTGACCCATTATCCTCTGCCCTCCAAGCCACAATCAAGCGAATTCATCTGTTAAGTTCATTTTCTTGGCTTTTACTGACTTTAAGCCTAGTATTTAACAAGTATTTTATCAATTTGTACAATAAAAATTGGCACGTTCGTAGGAATTGTGGGATGCAGAATATTCTCAAGGTCAAGCCCCTAGGAAATGAGGCTGCCAGGTTTCGTAGGTTTGGTTTTAATTTACTCAAAGAAATGGTAGAGCCTTCAGCTGAGACTGTACAGAGCATCTGGCAAATGCCTTGATTGGAAAACACAGAATTTTGTGTTCTGGCAGATGCAGGCAGCTGAGACGAGGCTCTCCGGGGAACTGTTGGGCAGGTTTAACGTGATGAGCTCTGTTCTTAGTGTAGAATTCTGCTGCAAACAGTCAAAAAAAGGAAATCGTGAGTTACACAAGTCCCATTTTATGGTGGTATCTTTGGAACTCGGCAGTGTTTTCTGTAGTCCTAAATTTGTTATTCTCTCTGGTTTAAAAGAGTATGTTTATAGCATAGTAGCATTGACCTGAAGTGTTATATAAGAATTCTGTAATACCTTGTCATCAGGAAACTTTATGAGCACATGCCTGGCGTGACTCTGGGGTGAGCTCGTGAGAAACGACACTGTTAGCCTCTGTGTAGCTTGAGGTTTTCTCTTTGAGGGTCATTTACTGCCCCTTAAAAGGGCAGGTGACTACATCATTATATCCTACTGCTTGGTGTCTTTTCCAGTTTCACGGGTCGTTTCCCATGTGGAAGTTTCCCATGTAAACGAGTTCAACTTTGGCTATAAAACCCCTTTTTTACTGCAAGATACAGGTTAGTGGGGTTTGTTTAGTTTTTTTTAATTTACCCTTGATATAGCCTGTTCTATTTTTATCTCATTTTCAATTTGTTTCTAAGCTGTAATTAACTCTCTCCTTAAAATCGTTTAGCTCTTGCATACGGTTGAGTTCAGATTAATAGCCTGTATTTACCCAGGAGATTCCTGTCCTTTTTTCAATACGAGTACTGTCATGTTCCAGCCATGTTCCACCAGTCTCACCTTGACAGATTTATTACCAGACCTTCAGTTTTTCTCCATGTGCTGGCTCTGGGGTGATGCTGGGCTAGCATGGATTAGGATTCTGGACATCTGGCTCTCTATTTCGTTTTAGTTGTTTCCATAGTTTGCACTTGGGTGCATTTTGATCCTCACTTTTCTTCCACATTGAATTTTCAGGTTAAATTTAATTTTTCTGCTTGGATTAATTTTCTAAAATACTGCATTCTCTCTCAACCCCCATTTATCTTTTTTTTCTTCTTTCCCCCCCTTATTCCTAATGCGCCTTATAAGATGATTGAACAAGAGCATCAGACCCTCACCTCACTCCTGCCCGCTCAGCCAGTGACACAACTTCCAGACAGCTTTACCCCCTTCCCTTAGATAGTGTGGGCTGCTTCCTGAGCTCATTCATTCAGGAGATTGGAACCATTTCTCCAGTTTGCTTGAAATATGCCTTTCTGAAATAGTCTTTTTTTTTTTTTTGACCTAGTTTTGATCACTTAAATTAATTTTCTGTCAGCGCATCCTTTTTGATGTTTAATTACTGGTGGTGTCTGGAATAACCTCACGGATGATTCGGTGGCTGTTCAGGGAGGAATTCTGGTACCGTCACATCTTGGACAGTTTTAGGTCTTACTGATATTAGTGCTCTTATTAGAGAAATCTTCCTCTGCAGAGTAACCTGCCAGAGATCCAGTTTTGCTCTCTGAGATTTGGCTTTTCCAGGGAGATTTCCGATCCCAGGATGGTTCTGCTTTATCTGTACGCAGCTCGTATTTTATACGACATCATTTTCATATAATGCCATCTACACATCTTCTTCTGTCTTTATCTTTTCTGAGATGCGAGAGCTAGGCGCTGTGGGCTGGTGGCTGGGCTGGCCGGAGGGTTTGAGCTCTGTGCGGTGAGGGGACAGCGAGGCTCCGGAGCCTGGGGACACGGTGTGGGGGTGACAACACCGGCAAAGCCGCCCTCCCTCCTGCCACCTTCTGGGACCTTGCTCTTTCCAAATATGCACAAGATTGCTGAACATCTTGCTTGATCTTTTTTTTTGTTTCAGAAATATCTTTAGCCCCGTTAGCTAATTAAAAAGCTAACATCATCATCATCACAAACATTTTTCTTGAGTAAGGACAAAATTTCCTATTCCAGCTCTTTGTGCGCAGCATCTCTGATATAAAATCGGATCAGAGTTCCTCTTCCTCATCCACTCTGTACAGTTCACAGGTTTTACCCGTGGAGATGGCGGTCGTTGCACCCCAGTTTCTGACTGCTTTGCATCTGAAGCTCTCTTCTGATGCTGTTACTAAATTCAACGAGCTGTGGGCACGCACTGGGTTTACCAGGAGTTTTGCCAGTTTTGACTTTGTGATTCTTACAACTTTTTTAATTCTAGGAGACTCCTCAAAGGATTTTATGTAGTTTTATTCTGAAGGTGTAAGCATGCAGACATGATGTTCTGGAGCGTTTATGATGCCTCCTGGCTTCTGCTGTCCTGCTGTTACAGTTAATGCACCGGCAGAATAATTTCTCAAGACTGGGTGAGATGGGATGGAGGAAACAGGAAGATTTATATCCTAGCATGTTCGAATAAATAAATTTATAAATTTTATCTTGATAGCAAATAATAAGGAAATTATTCTCAGAAGAAAACACAAAAGCAGAAATTTCTTGGGGGTTAAATGGGTTGAAATATTTTTTTCTTTTCTGTAGTAAGCATGTATTTCATGTAGGCTTTTATTGTATTTTCTTACAGATATTTTCTCTCAAATATCAGATTCAAACGGACTAATGATATTTACAAAGTTTGATCAGTTTTTGAAAGAAGTTTTAAAGCTTCCAACAGCTGTGTTCGAGGGGCCTTCTTTTGGATACACGGAGCACTCCGTACGGACCTGCTTCCCCCAGCAGGTAAGAGCTAACAGAGGGGATTGCTGTGTTGCTCGTGCATCTAGTGCTTCCTGCTGCAGTCCTCTGGCTGCTTTGGTTGTGGTTTGTACGGGGTGTGGAGGGAGGGGCTTGATCCTATGTACTGTATAGCCTCAGTAGTTTTAAGAAATTCTGAATAATTTAAAATAGTATGTCTAGGTCTTAGACAACTAAAGGATTTTGCACCATTTTAGTTTGTTCCTCCTCCTCGAAGGGACACTTCTGTTCTCCATCAGAAGAACAGCAACGATGACCTGTTTCTTTTCTAAAATGTGAAAAACAGAAACTTTACTATTTTCCCTTGATTTTTTTTTTTAAGCTTTCTCAGTGTTAAGAGTATTGGTTTCAACAAATCACTTGCTGGTCGGTTGGGTCTGTACAAAATAAACACGTTGTGTACACAGGGTTTGTCCTGAAACCAGTTTCACTGTTGTGCTGATTGCTGTAGTTGTTTTTTCCAGAATATTTCCGTTACACGGAGTGTTTGGACTAGATATTGTAGTAATGATCTTAAAAGCGCTTTGTATTTCTGTATACATTTTATTTGTAATTTAATTGTTCCAAGAATTTGTTTCTAATTTGAGATAATGTAAATAGTCTAATCCTTAAATCAGCTGTAAACATCAACCTAGATTATCTTATGCCTAAAATGGAATGTTTAGATGCTGGTCATGATTATGTTCTGGAACAAATATTTCTGAAGCATTTAGATTGAGAATGTATGGTCACTTGTACTGAATTTACGTTAATCAGCAGCTGGTGTGTTTGAAATACAGCACAGCAGAAAACAGCCTTTGATTCGGGAAGCAGCGAGGGCTCCAGCTCATCCGTGGGTTACTGAGGATAGAATTTTGTTTTAGTAATAGTGTAATTAATATTTTTTTTCTGTTTCTGTACTGGCCGAGGCATTAGTGGGCCATGCGAGCTCCCACGATTGTGTCACCCTTTCTGTTATGTCGGTACGAGCCGTTTATGCATGTAGGAAACTGTCCCATCAAACCCAGTTTCCCGCCGGCAGCACTGCTGTTGGGTGGAAAACGCCTCACTCGGAGCTGTGAGAGTCGTACGTCGCGTTCTGAGCTCTGGGTGCTCTGTCTGGTGTCTGCAAAGGGAACAGGGATGGGGTTTTTGTTGTGTCACCATCCCCAGAGGGATTTAAGAGACATGTCGACGTGGTGCTCAGGGACATGGGTTAGTGGTGGGCTGGGCACTGTGGGGTTAATGGTTTCCAACCTAAACGATTCCATGTTTGCACATGGCTGGCCTGCAGCATGTCTTGGCACTCTGACTTTGGCTCCCGTGAAGAAGGCGGCTAGTTCTTCATCTTGATTCACTTTTAGAAATGCCTTGGCTCTAATTTTATTCATCCAAACCATCCCTAGTGTAAGGCCAGGTTTGTGGAGAGGGGTAATGGTTTTTTAATTACTCCAGATACACACTCTGCCCCAAGACAGTTCTTTCGTTTCTTTGAAAACATTGAAACAAACCACTCCTGGGAAGTAGATGGAGAATCTCTCTTAGATTTAGTTTCATTTTCTCATGCCTCCCAGATTTGAAAATAAGCTTCCCAGAGGTACTTGTATGATATTCTCCTGTTACAGCCCATGGTGCTGCCGAAATCCTCTCCAGATGGCACTGGTGGAGCTGTGGGGTTTCAGACTTTGCCATTTACACGACAGATACGTAAGCTACATCTGTAGTAGTTAACTCAACTGTGCCTTGAGCTGTCCCGTGGTCCTAAGGCCAACTGGAACAGTCTAACCACATGCGTGCTGTTAAACCCTTACTCCCTCAAGCCGCGTGGTTACATGGAAACTGTTTATTAAAAATTATTCCCAGGTGATATCAACACCCAATCTGGACATTGGAATAATTTTGGAGAGTGAGTGGTTAAGCCAGGCCCAGGTTTAATAACATAAAAGCATTCTATATTGAGTTTTAGCGCCAGGAACATTCCCTGGTGTTACTTAAAACTACCAAGAGACAAATTCTTCCTGGCCAGCTGCAGTTCCAGGCTCTTCATGGAGGTCCTGCTTCTGGGAGCCGCTGCTTTGAGGTGCAAAAGGCTAATAATTTACTGCTGTCGGGGTGGTGAAAGGGCAGATAGGTAGAGACGTGTCAGTGGTTGTATATGCTCCACAACTCCCTTTCTTGGGTCACAGATGGAATAATTCAAACTTGTTGCCAATGCAAAATGGAGTTTATTGGGATGCTTTTGGCAAGAGCTGCATTCCTTGTGATGGCTTCCAGATGGATGAAGAGCTTCCAGTAATAATTTAGTGTTCTAGGTCAAGTGGGGGCTTCCACAGATGTAAGATACCATGTTGTACTTGTCTTAAGACTTTTGTTCACTTGGCTACAGTCCATCTACTTGTCATAGAGATGTTGTATCACCATGACATTCCCTGCCTTAGTCAGAATCTTTCACAGAATCATAGAACCGTTAAGGTTGGAAAAGACCTCGAGGATCATCAAGTCCAACCGTCAGCCCAACACCACCCAGCCCACTAACCCATGTCCCCAAGCACCACATCTACACGTTTCTTGACCCCCTCCAAAGTTTCTTGACCCCCTCCAGGGATGGTGACTCCCCCCCTGCCCTGGGCAGCCTGTTCCAATGCCTGGTCACTCTTGCAGTGAAAAAATTTTTTCTAATATCCAGCCCGAACCTCCCCTGGTGCAACTTGAGGCCATTTCCTCTTGTCCCATCACTTGTTACTTTAGAGAAGAGGCCAGCACCCACCTCACTGCACCCTCCTTTCAGGTAGGTGTAGAGAGGTGTAGAGAGCTGTCTCCGTCAGGCTCCTCTTTCTGCGCTCACGGCACAGCCTGTCCTGTCCCCGCAGAGGTGTCTCCACAGCTCATTTCCAGAGCAGTCTCACTGCGGTGTTCCTGCT